GCATATATATGAATATGACTGCTCAAATATAAACTGAAGATGTAAAAACACACAAACACTTTGAATGCAGTACAACTATGCAAACTATGTGTTGGTTCCAGGGTACACAAAAACTGTTGTGTTTAATTTCAGACCCTTTCCTTATTGTATTAAAATTATATTAAATGTATGTACCCCAGTTGAAACATAAATGCAAAAATATAAGATGGCAGTGCAGGACAACAGCCATTTGATGTAATATTGATGTTTTGGGTGTAAACATAACGCAACTGATAAACTTTTTACAGCTATCACTTTTATAATACATTTCGTATAAGCTATTTAGCACGATTTACAAGAGTGCAGACAACAGACCTGTTCTTTTTGATTATTATTGGTACCTTCAGAGATACCAAAAGCAAGTATGTGCCCTTTGCAAAGCATGAACATCCTTTGAAATCTACGGCCCTGGACTCAGTCGCTGCTCACTGAAAGCTGAAAACTGGTAACCGAAGAGTCTGCTACACGGACATCTCTACCTTCCATTTCACAGTTTCCATGATAAACTGTCTAGTAAATCCAAGCTCTTGTTTTCAAAAGTTAATTAGCCTGATCTGAAGAAAGTTGCCAGAAAAGAGCTGCCAATGGACCATAAATGGAAGGTGCAAAGAACAGGCAGACATCACCTCTCAGCAGCAGAGACAGCTTTGTTGTACTGAAGAGAGCTAATTATTCAGAGGATGGAAAAAGACCAGAGTTCACAGCTCATTTGGGTTTCCCTGATTATGAAAGATGTGACAAAAACAGCAACGCTGTGGCACTCATCAACACAGACAATTAGGGAAATCCAGAAGGTATCCAGAGGTCAAAGAACTCAGCCAACAATGGATAAATGATATGTTGGAAAAACACACACAAATAACTACTGACTTGAATGACTCGATAGATCTTTGACGGTGAGATGGCCTTAAATGGTAGTCCCACAACGCAAAGACATGCAAGTTCACAGGTTAGAAGCTCCGTATATCACATTTAATAGAATAACCCCCAATTCACACCAAAGCGCAACGGCGCGTAAGCGCAGCAGCACAGCACCCGAGCAGCAGACGCGCTGCTTTAGAACTCCATTTTAACCGGTCTGTGCCATACGCGCGTCCAACGAGTGTCTGACGCTGACGCGCTGCTCGAGATAGGTTGGAGTTCTAATTTTGCAGCGTCAAAGGTGCGTCTCCAAGGTTTTTAGCAGGGGAAAGACAGGAAATAAACACGCGGTGTCAAAATAAACTTCCGATACCCTTTCAAAATAATTTAACCAAAGTCAAGACAGCGATGTAAACAACGCGCACGTGATTTACGATGTCAGACACCAATTCTACAAGGACTCAGGACTAACTCAGGACTAACCCAGGACTAAACCAGGACTAAACCAGGACTAAACCAGGACTAAACCAGGACTCACTGTCGAAATGTGCTCGGAGGTCCTTCCGTGTGGCCCCGAGTGTCCGCGGGCGAAAGGACCGGTGCAGAGCTTGGAGAAGAGGTACGTGCAGCCGTCGCGCTTTTCGGACACCTGCTTCGCGGGGCTCAGGGTTCGCTCTCTCTCTCTCTCTCCAAGATTAGACCTGGTTAAGACCTGATTTAGTCCGGGTTTAGTCATGGTTTAGACCTGAATTAGTCCTGATCCGCCCTTAAAATTCCAGAACGTAAAAACTCGCCCGTTTCAGCGACTATTTTCCCTTATCCATTGGTGCAGGACTCTGTATCAACATATAAACGTATAGGCCTTATTACCTGGACGGACATATGATTTTAATCACACTCATAATGTATGTTAATTATACGTGATTTTACCTTATTAAGGGAAAAAAACTGAGGTGTGCGTGCTAATAGATTTAAACCTCATTAAACGCAAATGCGTTGCAGTTGTACACTTAATTCATAATACACAATACACATTCTAACTTAATACACTTTAACATAAAATAAATGATAAAAAGCAAGTACAAAATGTGATGTCTGAAAACAGTGAGAAGATGTGCAGGCTGCGTAGCAGGAGCGTCTCTCACGCTCTGGTGTGAAGTGAAACTTTGAAATTTACGCGTACGCGCAGCTCCGCCTACGTTAAGCGCTGCTGCAGCTCCTGGTGTGAATAGGGGGTAAGTAGGCCTGTCACGATGATTTCTATATCAACTTATTGTTCATATGTGAAAGCTGGAACAATAGATTTATCGTGTGTACATTTTCTTTGCACTACTAGGAATTTTTTGGTTATTTTTTGGCTATATGATTAGATTTGAGCTGTTAAAGGTCAAAGTAATAATTTGTATAACTCATTACAGATGGAAACACAGTATTATACATTTTCAATAGTTTTTGTGGTTTAAATCTGCTTTTGGGCTATTGTGTCAGTGGCATAAATTAGTTACAATATTAATGTTTATTGTCTGTATTTACTCATCATTTGTTATCTTAACAGGCCAATTATTAAGTCCATTTGGGTCTTTGTGAAATGCAGACCACAAATCTGTATGTTGATTTAAACATTTTCTTAAAGAAGCATCAAACTGCATTTCTTTCCACAGTGCAGTATATTGCAAATAAACAAAATAGTAACAGTGACAAGAGAAATACTGGACTACAGGATAAATTACTACTTTGATTCTATATTGTTCAACAGATGACAAAGGCTACATTTTCTTTGCACTGATGGGGAACTTTTTGTTACTTTTTAGGGGGTCAAATACGTGTCACTTATGACTCATTACATAACTGCTTTGAAGTGTTTCATTGTGCCATCGTTTTTATATTTTAATGTACATTAAGAAAAGGGTTTAATACTGGCTTCTTTTGTAAACTTTAGGTAGTTTCAGTATTATTTTTTATCACCTATATTTATTTTAGCAGTATTTCACACTTTTGTTACACAACATTTGTTACTGTGACCTACTGTGACCTGTCCAATAAAGTGTACAGTTATTACTTCAATATTTTCAACTGTGCACAGAAAGCAGCTCTGAACCAATGTGATGAACTGAACTGTCCGATTGCCTGCAGTGCTTGTATGGATGCTTGTAACAAAACACCACATCTTATAATCCTGCAGGGCACTTAAGTCTGCAGAGGTATAGAGAAGAGAGGAGAGGTTCTATCCAGCCAACATTAAACCTAAAAGAATCAACCAGAGCCTATTACTCAAGTGAAGTGGCTCCCTTAAAGAAAGCAGGGTATCCCCATCTTTCACTACTTATCTGCACACGCTCTTGCAGCCAGGAAGTGCACTGCTCAAAACCAAAAGAGATGTTATCTGCTGCAAGACGTTGCTTTTTCCATGAAGTCATCAGCAGCCTATGGGTAGCGCGTCAGGCTACAACAAAAGGGCTACTGTTTGAGTGGCACAATACTGCACACAGCTTGGCCACACATGCAAATGACAGGCTAGTACACGGAGAGGTGGGTGGACCTGGGTGAAGCCAGGTCCCAAGTCAAAAACACACCATCATTGAGACGCAGTACATTACATGATAAAAGTGGGAAATTACCTTGTTAAAAGTATCGGAAATCAGATACGAAGTGATACTGAAACTAATACAGAAACTACATACTATACTGAACAAGTCACATTCACAGGACAGAAATGAACGTTTCCTGAACAGTTTAGAATGATCTTGAGCTGTGTCACAACAAGTATAAGACCACGTGGAACCTACAAGGATGACATAGATATAACACTACATGGTAATAAAAAAGAAAGGATGAAGATTAAATGTTGAAAATGACAGTCTATTGTCTAGAGTCATTTTTTTATTCTCATCTTAGTACTTAAATTGTGTTTGAAATATTAGTATTGCGACAACACAGTAGACTGTACATTATATGATAAAAGAGCCCCATTATTTCTTGATGTACAAAATAATACTCATTATAATGGCTTATATTGTCCTGCATGTACTCGGTGGTAATTTGAGAGTACAAGTATACACTGTACACTTTACAATTGCTGAAAGTGAAAACAGGTTGTACAGGAATGCCTGTTTCAGTATCTCTGGCTTCATCATGGTTGGCTGCTGTACACTTCCGCATCTATGTGACAGTCAGGAATGCCCATGTTCAAGCACACACATGCACAAAACCACAGATACTCAGGTGAAGTGTCAATGGTTTTACTCCATATTTAACATTCACAGCATGAAAGGGTCTACTTTTTACTCAACTGAGAAAAAATAGGTCCTGATTGGAACCCATGGATGCCCTAATAAAGTAATTATAAAAATAAATAAATAAATAAAGCCATGTTAAAAACTGCACTATGTAGATTTTTCTAGTGAAGGGTCTGTCATGTGATGGTCTCCATAGAGATATTATTGCTTTTCTTATTGCTTTGCTTCCCATGTTCCCAAGCAGGGCATTAAATTTATCTATATCTTATCTATATAGTTACAAGTCAGATCAGTGGAGAGGCAACACCACTCACTGTAAGAATGGATGCTTTTCAATGCAATAGAAACATTTGATATGAATAAATGCAAGTTAAATTTAATGCCATATTGTGGAAAATTACAGGAAAGGCAAGTGGAGGACCTCAAACTAGAAAAGTTACATAATATAGCTTTAATTATGATACATAAATGACTTGGTATGGTGGCTCTGTGTTGTTGCACTGAGTGACAGTTTAGGAAAGGTGTAATTATGAAAAAAACTGTAGTTGGAGTCCTACACATACATAGGTTGGATAAATTATAAATCATACAGTACAAATATAGACTTCTGTATGATTTATTCGGAATGATAATAAATAAAATGGACAGCCACAGTCGTAAGCATCAATGAATGTGCCACTGGTGTTTCCACTGACTCCGCGCCTCAGGGAATAGCACAGTTCATTTGTCAACTCACGACTTGGATAAAAGCGCACAAGATCAACGCAGTTAGTAGTAGTATCGTAGATTAATCGATGTACAAGCAATGACCAGCCTCACAGCAGCGTAGAGAAGTGAAGTTGGCTTGGAAGAAGTACTACTCACCGTTCGGACCAAATTTCTCTAGGTTAATTTTGACTTGTTCCAGAGTCAGCCCGTTGTTTTCGTTCACCCCGAAGTAATCTAAAACTTCAGTCGCTGATTTCGTGTGCGCATTTTCCATCTTGGAGCCGGGCTGTTCACTTGATCAAGTCGAAGAAGTGCATGTAGAGGAGTTCAGCGTGTATTGCAGGAAGCGGTAAAGGTGAGGAGGAGAGGGTAAGAAGGTACGCGGCGGTAATTCCAGCGAAGGGCGTCCGGGATACAGCAGACTTGAAACGGTGCGCAGTGTCACCACCTGTCCCCCCCTTGAAGATATCCACAAACACACGGCGAGGTGGTGTCTGCTGGTCGACTACCGCTGCTGGTTCATCTCCATCCGTAGGTGAGAGCCGTGTGGCCGCATACTGCACCGCCTCTCGCCTGTTCAGCACTCCCTCCTGCGCGCTCATTGGCTGCGTGCACCTGAGCGCAACCACCAGACGCCCACAGCACCATTCAAAAAGTTTCTACCCAAAATTCAGACGTTTGTTTTGCATGTTTATAGAGGTACTTGATGGGGAAATGCACGGTTTATTTCTAATGTGTGCATTATCTTTAACTAAAAGCTTGTCGAGTTACAATTAGGCTATCCCCATGCTTTGTCAGGAAACTATTACACTAATTTCCTGGAAGGCTACTATTTTTAGATAGAATAACCTGACCCATAATTAGGTTGTAAAAATAATTTGTGCGTTGTCTTTTTTATAGGGACAACCCAGAAGTCATTTTCATATAGCTGACCTTGAGACCAAATTACTTCCTTAAAAGGTCCTCTATGTCGCAAAATTGACTCTTGTGAGCTTTAAGTCGTGTTATAATGTTGTTACCTCATCAAAAACATACCTGTGGTTGTTTTTTGTTTCATTCACACATGTTTGAGTAATCCTGAATTATTAGTCTGTCTACATCTCTAAAGCTCAAAATGCTCTGTTCCACTTTTTGATCTTATGAAGTGGTAGTTTTCAAGTTAACAGCTACCTTTTACCTATTGTTAAGTAGAGATTGGCAATTCCAGAGCTGAAATTTTCCAAATGATTCTAGTAAAGGTGTATGGAGTTTAAAAACACAGTGGAGCACTTCATGTATTATCACATGACATAACAAGGTGGAACAGAGTGTTTTCTCTTTGAGAGAAGAATTGAGCCTAAATATGCAGGGTGTGTGTGTTAAATGTGTGAATGAAACAAAGCACATCTCCATGTATGTTTTTGAGGAAATATCATTATAACATAGATAAGAAAATTGCTTATAGACAATGGAAAATGTTAGCCTGATTCATCATCCGGTTTCACTTCGTGGAAACCGTCTGACCTCACAGGATTAGGATTTGTTCGCCCCACTGTAGGTGGGTACTTTTTTATTTAACCAATCGAATGACATATGTAATGCACCAAATCCTGTAGGAAGAAGGGCAATAACATCTTTCCTCTTGATAAAATTCATCAAACATTCTTTTTGTTCCAGTTTTAAATCCTCAATCTTGGGAATCGTTGTCAACACAGAATGTATGGCTTCATCTACATCCATCTCGACCACTTTGTTAACTGTTGTGCTGTACCACAGAAGGGACCCAGTCATGGCTTCACAGCTCTTCGCTGATTGGCCGGTGCATGGTCTACAACTTCTGGGTTCTTGCAAACCGTCTACTGTATTCTGATTCCTGACCTAGTCTCTGGAGAGAAATGAAATCGAGCGAAGGCACTAGGTGGCGCCAGCTTGGCTAGGAAAATGTAGCCAGCTCAAAAGAAGATTCATCTAAACAAAAACATAACTAGCATAGATATAATCACCAGAAACAGAAAGCAAAATAGTGCAATGTAAGACTTCTTTTTCAAAATCAGACAAAAATACACAAAATCCCTTGTACCCTTGGAGTATTGTTGATCATATCCCAGGTCCAACGATCAGAACATGTGGTGTGGTGTGGTGGACCCTGTTAGGACCAGTCCCACAGCTGTGCACTGTGTCCTTGAGGAGGATGCCAGACTGTCCTCACTCTGGGGGATTTGGCGTGTCTTCTACATGTGTATTTATGTGCGGGCCACTCATGACCCAAACACCAAGGTCAAATATCTCTGCATATGAGATAGCAAGAATATATTTACCAAACAACTGAGTAAGCGTCTATCAGTGCTCACTGTCTCACATCAGATCCTCATTTATTCTTCCTTATTTACATATCATTATTACCTCTGGTCTCATAGAGTAATGGTTCTTTTGTTTTATTTTGTCATGATCTGCTTAGCTAATAAACTTTCTACTTTCTTACTTTTTTTACATATTTGGGTTTTTTCTTATAGGATGCCATTTTGAGGTTAGGACTAATATAGAGCAACAATGTTATGAATTGTTTATTGCTATGGAACCAGTCATAATTTTGCATTACTGAAAGAAATTGATAGCTTAAATTTAAATTGCAATTGCAATTGTCCTTGTGTGTTTTGAAAGGTGCTTATAAATAAAATGTTTTATTATTACTATATTATTCACTGTACTGTTCATTCTTTAGAGAGTTCAGCTATTAAAAGTATTGACAAGTAGAAACTAATTGATACGAAAACTAGTTTCAAAACTAGGTATGCATTCTGGCAAGTATTAATGTGACCAGTGGACTTCTGCTTTGTGTTGTTTTGTGAAGCTTGTGGTGCATTAAGGAGCCACGGGACACAGTGGGAACTTTTGGAAGCACTTTCCATTTAATCTGGTTCACAATAATAGAAAATGGGATCAACATGTGCCACTGTTTGTCGGTTCAGTCCAAACTACAGAGAGAAGACAATGGACAGAGTTGGCATCTCCTCGCATCTTCACATGAATAAACTAAAACAACAGAGCAACATAAGAAGGGACATATAATTATTAGGGGTTTAACAATATCCAAGTCTCATGATATGATATCGTCATGGTATGAACTTCACGGTATGAACTTCACGGTATGAACTTCACGGTATGATATTTATTGCGATAATGTGGGAAAGCTCACGATATGGTGGGGAGGCTCATGATTAGGGACAATATCCAAATCTCTCGGTACAATATTTTCACCATATTTTGTGGAGTCTAAAAAAAAGTATTAATATGCTACTTTTTCCTCTTAAAATGCCTTGACAAGACTTAATCCAAAGAGCTAAGATTTAAAAGCACTTAGAACTATTATTTCTTCATGTAGTCTACACTTTTCTATGTAGTTCCCTCTGTCTTTTTTTTAGTTACTGCTTAACCATAACTCTTAATTTAAGCAAAGAGACTTTTTATTCGATATATTGTGATGGTCCGAGATATTATTGTGGGAACTTTGATGATACGATATCACTATATTTCAGTTATTATATTGTTATTATATTGTTATATTGTTACAGTCTTAATAATTATGGACATAATTAAAGGCAAAAAGAACACTTAAATCATGAGATAACTATAGATGACCGACCTCTTCGCAATAATGGATTTACAAAAGGAAGAGATCGTGGTCAGACCCCAAGGTCACACGAAAAAGAAACAAAAACACAGAAGAAGAGGCTGGAAGGTCGAGGCTGCACAGTAAATCAACCACCAGGTACGAACAAAACTATCATTTAAAAAAAGGACCATTTTGTGTAATTATATAGTACATATGAACTGGGTACATCAATATTGCTGTTAGCATCGAATATCAAGCCTTTTCCTTCCAAATCGGAGAAATTTTTGAATTGCCATAACACTGAGATAACTTTTTTTACCCTGTGAATAGTGAAATACAGGTCGACTGAGGTGATCAGTGCAGTGCAGGTTTAGTACAAAAGGTACAAGGCGCTTTAATTCTGTCCCTCCTCACAGCTGTCCTCTCTCTCTTTCATGCGCAAAATGCTTATGTCATTTTGGGAGCTTATGTTCAAAGACTATTATTGTAACCTGGTTTGGAGGTTCCCCTTGGATTTCCCTTTGAATATTCCTGATGCAAAAGTTGTCACAGATTTAAATGAAAACAATTTGCCTTTCAGTAAATCATCTTGAGAGAGAATAAAGGGATGTGAGGTCTGTTGAAATATGCAAGCTTGTGTTGAGGAGAGACAGTCCTTATATAGTTGCATCAGTGCAGAGAAAAGCCCTTTAGAGCCAGAACCCTTCGGCAGAGGAAATCCCCACCCGGACCCTCTCTCCAGCTCCCTCTCTCTCGCTCTCTCTATACTCTTTTCTTGCTCTCTCTTTCCTTCCAGCTATCTCTCTCTCTCCCTATTCTAGCTTTCTCTCTTTCTCCTCTCTTTCCTCTCTCTGTCTCCTTCCAGCTATCTCTCTCTCTCCCTGTTCTAGCTTTCTCTCTTTCTCCTCTCTTTCCCTCTCTCTGTCTCCTTCCAGCTATCTCTCTCTCTCCCTGTTCTAGATTTCTCTATTTCTCCTCTCTCGTCTTCCAGCTATCTTTCTCTCTCTCCCTATTCTAGGTCTCTCTCTTTCTCTCTTTCTCCTTTCTTTCTCTCTTGCTCTATCTCTCCTTTCAGCTAACTCTCTCTCTCTATTCTAGCACTTTCTCTTTCTCCTCTCTCTCTGTCGCTCTCTTTTTGTCTCTCTTTCTCTCTCTCGCTCTCTCTTCCCATTCTAGCTCTCTTTCTCCTCTCTTTCTCTCTTGCTCTCTCTCCTTCCATCTTTCTCTCTCGCTTCCTCTCTCTGTATTCCAGCTTTCTCTCTCTTTCTCCTCTCTCTCTGTCACTCTCTTTTGCTCTGTTGCTCTCGCTCCTTCCATCTCTCTCTTTCGCTTTCTCATCTCTTTCTCTCTTGCTCTCACTCTCCTTCCAAGCAAACCCCCCCCCGCCATCCTGCCTCTCTGTCTTTCTCCCACTCTCTCTCTCTCCCTTCTCCTTTCTCTCCCGCTCTCCTTTTCTCTTTCTCTCAGCTCCCCTTCTCTCCGTCCTCCTCTCTCCAGTCGTGTCACACACTAAGGGACAGTGCTGCCTGTGTCGCCGTGTCTCCAGTCACACAACATTTTCCACATAGTGCCAATGCATTTGCCTTCCCCTCTTCCCTTGCATCTTTCATTTGCATAAGGGAAATGAGCCGTGGATTCCACAGAAACAAAAGGAGAGAGAGACTTTTCCTTCACCTCTCTAAATGCAGATAGACCTCCTCAGAACTACATTAAAAAGCTAATAGCATAAACTGTAACAATGAGGCACAAAATTAAGCCACGTTTAGCTGCCATTTTTACTCAAATAGTATTCACACAACTGAAACAAACATTACAATTATGAATTTAACTCACTGTGAATAACAAAATAGCATGTCTGTTTATGTATTTTACTGTGAAATAAACATACATACATACATTTATCGCAATAGCCAGAAAAATCTTTGTTGTGGTGGTGCTTTATGACCGTTTAAAGCCTGGATAAATTC